AAAGATTAACATGAAATAAACAGATGGGCCTGTTTGCAAATTTGACACTGGCATCCAAAAGCCCCAGTTGAGCCACTAAACTGGAAAGAAAAGCAGGATATGAGAGTAAAGGTCCTTACATGGGGGTGGAGGACAGGAGAATGGCTGGAGTTACTTGGGGGATCGGGTACACTTTAATTGTAAATATAGTGGTTACAGCCTTTCAGTTCTTTAATAACAATGTTCATTATTGCCAGGTCAATAGTTCATGCTAACACCACTCCCTGAGAACTAGTGAAATTGACTATCAACCCTTCCAAATCGAAAGTTCCCTTGTATGGAGGAGAGGCAGACAGAGGCATGTTTGCTAAAGGGGACTCTGCTGTTGGCTCTTAACTCTTACTACCAGAAAGGGAAGTGAAATCCCAGGGCATCCATAATTTCAGAGGCTTGATTTCTGAGAAGTGATGTAGTAAGTAGGCCTTTCATAGTGGGGCAGATGCAGAGACCTGGTTCTCCCAGGAAGCAATTGAGTATTTGCTATGGCTTGGTTTGTTACTTTGGGGCTCTGAGAAGCACTAATCCCCTCTGTGTCTTTTTACCCAGCACTGTAGCTGGGCATGACCCTTCATAGGCCAGCATAGAGGGAGTCTTTGCTCCAGGAGCCTCTAATTTACTCTCAAGTGTCTTTGTTTAATAATCAGTACAGTGTGGTTAGAAGCAGCTTGGACAGGTAAAAGTACCTCTGGACGAGGAAACAAGAAATCAGTTCCATTCCTGGCACAGACACCTGCTCTCAAACAGCCTTGGCCAAGTCACTTCACTCTCTGCCTCAGTTTGTCCCTCTGCATCATGGAGATATACTTTCTTGATCTTAATTCCTACTGTTTCTCTTTTGTATTTCTTCCAGATTGGACAGAGAATCTCTGTGGAGGCCTTTGCCCCGCAGGTTGCCACTGCTGTGGTTAGCGTTGCACCTAAAGGTGAAGGTTGGTAAGTCTGAAAATTGAAGGAAATATTACTATGTTATTGGGCTTTGAGATTTTAAAGAGTTCTTACAAAAATCTTGTACTTGTTAAGAGTAACAGACCTGTGGACAACAAGCGCATGAATGCAGTTCCTGCTGGTCTGCAAGTCCTGGGTTTGGTCTGAGTCCTTGTGCACTTTTCACTGCCTTCTGGTCTGTTCCTGTTGCTGCTGGTAGTGGAAAGGGCTGGCCTCCCTTGCTTAAAGAAGCACCAATTATAAAACAGTGCTGCAAGATAGGAAGAGGTCTAGATTTGAGCTCCCCGCCCCCTCAGATTGTGTAGAGGCCCATTCAGTCAATGGCCCTACCAGTAGAAAATCCATTGTTCCAGTAGGAAAGCCTCATTGAGTGTTGATGTTCCTTGATTACTCTCAACTTCTCAGTTTGTCCACTAACTGTCAAGGCTGTGCTACAAAATGGGTGTTCTAATGAGCTGTAGTGATATGAAGTTTTCAATAACAAAAGGTGTTCACAAAACAATGGGATTCACAATGACTCAGACATCTCCCTAAACTTGCACATTTAGCTGTTGCATTACGTCCCCCCAAATCCATCAGAGCTCCAGCTCCCATGGGACAGCTCTAGCTGATACCTACTCCTTCCCTGAACCCTCTCTGGCTCAAGCTCCAGTTCAGTTCTGGGCTGGCTTCACTGGGCCAGAACCATGCATACTGTAGAGTTGCAGGCCCCAAGAACCAGCTTGCTGCAAGGAGGTCAGACATCACACAGCCTTAAAGAGCGATAAAGAGAGGGCATTGATGCACTTGCATGCTCCTTACATCCTGGCTTGCCTGGCAGACACCACAGCCTGGCAAAGGGGCTTGCATAGGGGCAGAGGTGTCATAACAACTTAATATGGAGATAGACACATTTTTGCAGAGGGCTGCAGGGTGTCCTGCCTACAGGGGGAGAGAAGGGATGTGTAATCCTCCTGGAGACTCAAGCACAGAGGCTCCTGCCAGAGCCAGGAAACAATCTGGTCTAGGGATGTACACTCACCTTTCTCTTGTGCCCACACAGCGTGACCCTGACACTGAACAATGGGGAGACCCAGGAAAAACCCTGACAGCACAGCCTTACCTTGTCAGGCTGCAACTATGCCCAAAGCCACCCCAGCTGCACCCCGTTCCTCTGCCTCCTCCACCCAGGCCAAGACAACACCCACAGCCAGCCGACTGAAGAGTGCTCAGGCTGCTGGGAGTTCAGGTAGCAGCAGGGCACAGACAGACAAGCCAACCAGCAGCACCACTGCCAGAAGAGCTGGGCAAAGCTCTTCCCAATCAAGGGCCACTGCAGCACATGGCAGTGATCAAGGAGACACCAAGATAAGCTACAGAGTGACAGCTAAGAACCCCTCAGTGACTAGTGGAAGGAAACCCTGCTCCACAACAGCTAAAGCACCTGCCGGTGTCGACCCCTGCCTGGAAAGGAATCAATCCAGTCGCTCTCGGGCCAATACCACTGGCCGGGGCAAAGAAAGCAAATTTCCCTCCCTGCTGACAACAGAAGATGTGGTGAAAGTGGAGAGGGAAACTCGGGGCCAGAGAGGTAATCCCAAGTGGTTTGAGTGGCAGGAAAACCGCATCACGGCCTCAGTTGCACCCAGGATTGCTAACAGCAAGTTTGTCAATGGCAAGAGCTCAGAGGTGCCCCAGTCTTACCTTAAGGCCGTGGTGAGCTCTGGTTCCAAAGTGCAGACACCAGCCATGTCCTGGGGCACCCAACATGAGAAAAAGGCAGTGCAGGCATATGAAGAGCTGCAGTCCAAGAGGACAGGTAGGCCTGTGAAGGTGGAGGAGTGTGGCCTCTTCATTCACCAAGGGAAGGAGTGGCTCGCAGCCAGCCCAGATGGAATTGTCAGAGAAGCAGATACGGGGAAGCTGCTGGAGGTCAAGTGTCCCTATAAGCACAGAGACAAGACAGTGAAAGAGACCTGTAAGGACAAAGCCTTCTGCCTGGAAGTGGATGATGAGTCCTACTCCTTGAAGAGAAACCATCCCTACTACACTCAGGTGCAGTGCCAGCTGGCAACAACTGGCTTTGACAAGGCTGACTTCGTGGTTCACACCAACAAAGATACAGTCATCACCTCAGTGGATTTTGATGCAGGGTTCTGGGAGAAAACGGAGCCCAAGCTGGAGAAGTTCTACATGGAGGCTGTGATTCCCCACCTGGAGGAGAAGAGAAGCAACTCAGTCTGGGCTCAGGAAGAATAAAGTAATGGGGACATCTGGCCACTACCCCACCAGGGACTTCTGACTCCACCAGATGCCATGATGGAATAATGGACTCTCTCTGGTTCTGCCCTAGCAGAACTATGGGATCTAGAACATGCCTGCTGAGCCTAGACTCTTCCTTCTTCTTTAGATTGTAAGGTCCATGGGGGCCAGGATAGTATCTGCCTTTGTCTCCTACTGAGAGACAATCAGTGATTTAATGGTTCTGTCCTACTGCAGAACAAATACTTTTGGCATTTGATGCTTCCATGTGTGTGCAGACAAGTTCAGATTACCATATCTCTGGGGAAATAAGTTGGGTTGTTACTCACTCTGGAGGGGGCTGGGTTCCATTTAATGGTCTGGAGTAAAAGTTCAGGACTAAACTTGAATTTTAGTCCACCAAGGAATCCTTGCTGCTGTCAGTGGCAGGCTTGAAGATAAAATGTAAGGTATGATTCTCGGTGACCTTTCACATAGGAAGTCTCTGAGTATGACCCCCTCCCCATTTAATAAATTAAAAACACTTTATGTATTAACACCATTATAAATGCTGTAGGTAAAGTGGGGGTTGGGTTGGAGGCTGACAGCTTGTGACCCCCCAAGGGGTCCTGACTCCCAGTTTGAGAACCCCTGCTTTAGGGAGTAACTAAACTTGTGCCTTGTCACTGCAGCATCACACAAAGCTGTTTTTTCCCATGCTGCCATCTTATATTCACTCCCCCCTTCTTTCCCAGAGTGAGCTTAATTGCTGATTGTTTAACAGGCTAATTTTATATTAAGTATTGTTCGGTTTTAGCATCAGTCCTGCCCCCATGTGAATGTGAGGGAAGGAGCTTACATCTCAGAGCTACTCTTCCTGCAAACTCAAGAAGAAAACACCATCAGTTAACTTTTCAAGGGTGATGCAAGTACCACCACAACCAGGAGAGATCCCAACTTTTTTTAATGCAAATTTATTTCTCTAGTAGCAGACCATGTCATGTACATAACTTGCCTTGGTGTATGAGATCACTGTTTTGTTCAAATTGATCCTGTTTTGGAAACTAAAAGGAATCTAAACAAAACATTCATTTTAGGGTGTATTTTTGGTGAGATTTTTAGAAGAGGCTAGAGCTTGATTTCTAAGTAACCACAGAGGCCAGGATAAGGCATGTGTGGGGTGTCTAGTTGCAGAGAGGGTTGGTGTTTTGAGCTGCTTCCACAGATATGCTCAGAAGTGTGGTAGCCTGGGGTTGTGCCTGTCTCCCACAATTGAAGGGATACTTTCCCTTAGGTGAGGGAGATGCTCCATTTCCATAATTTTCTTTTCTACAGCACCATTGGTGTCAGACTACTACTATGTAATCAATAGTGCATTGCATCACAGATGAGGAAAGATTTCATCAGTCCTAACTAGAATCTCTCACTGCACCTGACTAGCACATATGGTCTAATACTAGGGTACTAAAATCTGATTCTCACCTTTTCAAGGGGGAGACTGTGTCCATGCCTGACCCATCTGAGAGCCCTGGTGCTCTTACCTACTCATTCTACATTTCTGTTCACTCAATGTCCCTGAGTTAACACCACCTACTTCCCCAGAGCAGCAGGCTTGTACTCTGCTTTGGATTTTTAATTCCCCAGCATCCACCAAATTGTCAAAGATGACTCCATAGTAAAAATGACAGGGCTAGCAGCTATTCCCACCCCCCAGCACAGCCAAAGGAAATAGTCACAGAAACTTACCCCTGAGGGGGAGTTACAGGTAAGGTCATGAAACAATAAGGCCACAAGGATTATGGCAAAAGTACTTTATTATATACATATTATTCCACCCACACTCTTAAGAATTTGTATTTTACATAATTTCAATAAAAGTTACTACAAACTATAAAAGTGTAAAGCATTTCAGGGGCCTAGATTTCCCCCTACAGGAGAAGGACGTTGCTGACTGATGAAGATGTCTCATGGCAGCTGAGTACACAAGTTTGGAAAAATAGAGAGGTTCCTTTCATCTCCCCACACCCCTCAGTCACCCCAAGCAGCAGAGGCCCAGCTCAGTACCAACATGTAGCACAGGAGTCAGCACACCTGCAGTTTATATGACTAAATCAAGTGCCTCCAGCACAGGGGGAGTAGCATCTTTGAAATGCAGAAGGCACATGGGTCTGGTTCTTTGGTGGGGGGTATACAAGGAGAATTAGAAGATGGAATCTAATACCTTAGTGCATGTGGAGCCCCTAGAGACCAGCCAGCTCAGCCATGTCCTCCCTGAGGCAAGGGAGACAGAAGACCAAGTATCCTGTCTAGAAACATAAAGGTGTGCTCATAGCAGGCACATCCCATCTAAGAGGCAGCAATTTGCATAGTGGATGAGGCTCAAGGCAAAAGACCCCCTAATCTGTCTGAGACACTAACATTCCCCAAACTTTACTGAGGAGCCTAGATGGCTAACACAGGAGAATTCTTCAGGGGACTGGACAATTCAGACAGAAGCTTCACTTTCTGCTCTGTCAGGACTTTGTTCACATCATCCACCACACCTTCACCAAAGATGCTTCCTGGGAGACAGCCCAGTGCAGAACAGCAGGGGAAGTCTTGAGAGCCATTCCCAGAGGATGAGATCTGCTTTTGCTTAGGGTCTGCCTGTGGCCTCACCCTCTCCCTCATGAGTTTCCAAGGGTTCCCCCCCAAAACTGTTTTGGTCTCCTGCCACAACTCCTTAAATCCCCTCATACAGGAGACTACAGTGCAACTGGAAGTTTGGGAGCAGAGGATTCCATTTTACAGTTTAGCAAGAATTGTTTTATAATTTTCTAAACATCTGTTACAAATTATTTACAGTCACTCCATTAATATTTACAGTAACTGCACACTGCCCCTCTCTGCCAAACCTCTGGAGGTAGTGAGTGCACTCAGATCAAGGGGCTCCTCTTTGCTTACTCACATGAAGCAAGTTTGAAGGCGGGGTGCTCAACTCAGGTGTTCACCTCACTAGAATTGCGGGGCCATGAGAGCACAGAGGACAACTTCCTTTTCCTCCCCGAGAGGGTGTCACTCCAGAGCATGGTTTGTAGAGGGAGAAGCTTGTGCACTCAACAAAGCAGATACAGCCCAGATTAAAGAGGACATTAGTCAGGGGGGCGCTAGCCAGGTGACAACTTTCACCAGCACTAAACTCACTCTTAAGAGGTTGTCAGGAAAGGAATTGGGCACCGATGGGATAAGTCTAAGCAGCCACCATACCAGAGGGAAACTACTTGGAGTAGGCTCTCCTGGAGTGCCTGGGGGAAAAGCACTGAGCCCTGTTTGTGAGACAACAGGCAGGTTTCTGGCTGACCTACTGCACTGGATTCCATTCAGAGACACACTTCTCTTGCTGGACCCCACTGCATTCGCAAAACTGATGTCTCAACTGCATAGTTTACATGACCCCCACAAGAGAAAGATTGAGTCTCAACATGCCAGCTTCCTAGAGTTGGAAGTACAGGGGGCATGCCCAGCAAAAATGCTCCCCCTTTCCAGTGCCACCGGCCTCCTATGGTCACTGTGTATCGATTGTCTAGCCAACTTGGGCTATAGTCTTAGAACAAAGGGCCCCCACCCACAATCACCGTGTCTCTAGGGGAGAGAATCAGTCACAGAAGCGTTTGCGGGGCACTGTCCTGGCTCGGTTTGAGCGACGGATCTCCTGTTTGGCGTCACGGCATCTCTGGCAGATGAAGACCTCAGGCACATTGGATTTGCGAATCTTGGCACAAGAGAGATGGATCCAGGTGGTGCATTCGTTACACTCTATCATGGGTCTCCCTGCAAAGGGCTTCAGGCAGAAGCAGGTTATCAGGTCCCAAGCATCATCCTCTGGGCAGGAAAGAGACAGACCTCCATCAGAAAATGCCAGACAAATCCAGTTTATAGCATAAGATTATGCATACAGGGGAAGGCAATATACATTGTCCCAGGGGCATGAAGGCCTATAGGGATCAGCACTGACCCCCACAGATGATTAGCGATCAGCTCTGAAGGAAACCCAGGCCTGTCCTACACTGGCCTGCATTCCCCTCTGTTTGGTTCAATCTCCCCCCATCTCAGGAAGAAAACCAGCAGCAAAGCAAGACTCCCAGCTCCCTGTGCTAGAGAGGCTACCAGTACCACACATAATGGGGTCCCACTCACCTTCTGATTTGGTGTTGGGAGGTGCCACCATGAATTCTACAGGTGAAGCTGCAAAAGGGAAAAGAGCAATTCAAACCAGTCAGATGCTTAGTTTGAGAGAGTCTCCCAAGCTGAAGAATGAGTCTGGACTCTGGCTCCAGCACAGTTTGCACCAGGGGAAATAAAGACTCTGACAAACTGAGGCCCAACACCTAGATTCTGTACTTTGCAGTTCCCCTACTTCACCTCTTATTGGGTGAGGCTAGGACTCCAGTAGCTGTGGGCTCCCCACAAAGCCAGTGAACCTACAGTTCCTCCACCTGGAAGAAAGCAAGGTACTGGGCATTGGAACACAATGCAGCTTTGCAGTGAGAACAAAGCATTGACATAACCACCTATCCAGACCAGGGACATCTTCCCCATTTTCCTACAGACCCCTCCACACTCCTCATACAAACTAGTTTGGAAGCTTACAATTGAGCTGGGAGCGGACACTGCTTGTACCCTCCTCCTCTTTGCTGTGATCCAAGGTATTCTGACAGCTGGAGCTCCTCCTCTCCTCAGGGCATGATTCCTGCTCCTTTGGTCGAAAATAGCCTCCTACTGGCACCTCACTCCCCTGAACCCCTTGTGTCCAATCCTTTTCTTCCTTCATAAACTCCTCCAGCAGGGACTTGGGTCGGAGCTCACCAGCTGGGACAACCAAGGACTCGAGACATTTTGCCATTACGTAAGGCGCCTGCTCCTCTAATACAGCCGACTCTCTCCTTTGCGGTTGAACATCACTTAAATTCTTCGTGCCAGCCAGTGTCATCTTCTGTTCCATCTCTTGATCCAAGATGAGCTTCTTTGCAGACAGTTTCTTTTTCTTGGTTTGCTGGGGTCGGGCTGCATAGAAACTGCTGGGGAAGTCAGGGCAGTTCAGGAACAGGTTGCCCCCTTTGTACTTGGCATTCCTGATCCTCCCCTCATCTGGCAGGACTTGGGAATCAGAGGAATGGGATGAGGCCCAGCTGTCACTGTCCTGAGTGCTGCCTGTGCTGTTCTGGGGACTCATGCTGCCTCCAAGGGTCCAGGGTTCATTCTGCAAGAAGGACAAAGAAAAGCACATAGGATCTGCACAAGACCACACCACAGATGTGGTGTTCTTGGAGTGACTGGGGGAGAGAAGGAGACATGAGCAGGAGAAATGACATAGCAGGAAGTCCCCAAACCTCAATGCCAAGAAAGAAAGAAGAGGTGCCAGGTCTGTCTCCCAGGACATTGGCCCCTTCACACAACACTAAACAATGACACAACGCACACACCAATCTGTTTTACCTCCTCGGGGTAGGGGATGTAGCCAGCATAGGCCAGCACGAAGGTGCAGAACTGGTTGAAGTCCTCCACGGTTCTTTGTCTTTTCTGTGGCGGCTGCAAAGAATGACATTTTATTGATTAGAGTCTCTACCTCCAGCCTCAGACTTGATGGCTGGAAAAAAATGTGACCAAACATTGTCTGTAGTTAAAGGCCAAGCTGGCAATGACCAAATCTTATGCTACAAGGTGCCATTGTGGGAGTCAGAAAGGACTGTGTGTGCAACACCAGCCACCAAGCAACTCCATTACACGTCCAGCACATACAGCCCTGGAATGCCTGAGCAACATTCCCCACAACCAACCAGCACAGTCCCAGACTGTCCAAACTCCACCACAGAAGCCTGCAGTGCCCAGCCCACCCAGGCGACCCTCCTTTCTCCCAAACCAACCCATACATTCATTGTGCCTAGATAGTCCCCGTCAAAAATACACCCAGAACCTGCAGCCATAACCCATACAGGCATCCCCACTACATCAAATCTACCTGCACACAATGTGTAGAAAGGAACTAGAATACAAAAATATTTGAATATTGAGTTTCTACAAGGTTTCTAAACAGGGTGAATCCCCCAAAGTTGTGGAAGAGCCCCCAGCAATGAGCTCCATTTATCTGCAGTCACAGGACTGTGGTGTTTGTGGTAGGGACCATGTTCAGTGCCTAAGGAAATCCTGCTCTGAGATCCAATGGAAAGGATAACAGGCCCCTACACAATTAACACAGGAGAGTTCAGACAAAGCCTTGAGCATTGGACTCTAGGGAAACATCCTGCCCTGATCCCGGAGTCTACAGCTCTATGGAGTGGAATCAAAACATCTGTGCCACAATGGCAGGGGCACCTGGGAAGAGTTTCCTCTCGGGACAATCAAGTTGCCTATTACAGAACTCCAGGGTCCTACACAGAACAGCCTCTTGCACCCACCTCCTTCAAGAGGAAGGGAAATGAAAGCACTGCAGCCAATCCCAGCCAGCACAGGGGCACTTATCTGACTGACTGGGGATAGGCCATATGGGCACAGTGCTGCCATTTACTTCAGCCAGGCAGTCCATGCCAGCCACCCAAGGCCACTGAAAAATGGCTGAGGCCGAGTCAAAACCAGCAGCTTGGAGGCCCCCTCCCTGCTGGTCTGCAAGCATCTAACACTTGGCACTACCAGAAAGGCCAACTCTCCAGCCCCTCACTCCCAACTCTGAAGGGCTGTACCCCAAACAGCAGAAGGGGAAGTGCAGGATAAACACTGAGGGAAGCCTGGAATTTCTGGGGTGTGGTCACATCCCACCCCCAGAGGTCTGTCTCCACCCAACCACCCCTCTTCCCCAATGGCTAGAAGGACAATCACTTCCAGCCATAGGGAGGGCACCTGCCTCCTGGGGAGCAGGGGGGAAAGCCTTTATTGCCTATGGTGGGTGGGAGGAGCGTCCCACCCTCACTCCTGTCAGAGTTACTGGCCTGAAGGAAAGAGCATGCCCAGGGCTACAGAAAGCTGACTACCCTCAGCCACACACTCTTCTCCCAATGCCCAGACCTCCCACCCCGCAGTGCCCAGACCTCCCCCCTCACACACACACACACTGCCCAAAGCTTATCCCCACATGCTCCCAGTGCCCAGACCTACACCCGCCGCCCCCCACACACATAGCTGACACCTCCTGCGGAAGGGGCAGGCAGTGGAAAAGCCTGTTAGCTGCGGCACCCAAGCCCGATCCACCCGGGAGCCCGCCCGGCGAGGGCAGAGGTCCCCAACGGAGGAGTCCCATTACGGAGGATGGAGACAGGCTGAGCCCGAGCCCGAGCCCGGCGCTCTCATGAGGAGCAGCCCCCGAGCCGCCCTCGGCCCAGAGCCCGAGATGGAGCGAGGAGTCCAAGGGCGGGGGGGTCCCTCCCCCGACATCTGATCCCGCCCAAGATGGCGCCCGCGCAGCGCTGCCGGTCCTGCCCTGAGCCGGCCCCCCACGGGGTCACTCCCCGCCGCAGGAGCGGCCCGGCGGATCCTCCGGAGGGAGCCGAGTAGGGGCGGGGGCAGGCAGGCGCCGGAACACCCCCCCCAAAACGTGTGGCGGCACCCACTGCCTTTTGGGGTTCACAGCCCCCCCCAGATACACCCCCCTCCGGTAAACAGCCCCCCCGATACACCCCCCCGGAAAACACCCCCCCCACACACACTTCCCAGGCACACAGCCCCTCAGAGCCCCCCCGGGTAAACAGCCGCCCACCCCTCAGATACACCCCCGGCACACAGCCCCTCCAGTGAACAGCCCCCCAGAGCCTCCACCCGCCCCGGAACACAGCTCTCCCCACAGCCCCCCGGCACGCAACCCCCCCGCAAAACCCGGACCAGCGCACTCCGCCCCCTCCCCAGCCCCCTCCCCGGCCGGCTTGGCCCCGCTGGTCCCCCACCTCCCCCCCAAAGCCTAGCCCCGCACACAAAGAGCCCCCCGCCAGACACGCAGCCCCTATTCTCCCACACAGCCCCCCCCGCCTTCTCCCCCAGCCCCCCCCGCACACAGCCCCCCCCTCCGCCTTCTCCCCCACACAGCCCCCCACTTCACAGCTCCCAGCCAGACACGCAACCCCTATCCTCCCACATAGGTTCTCCCCCACCCCCCCAGCGCCCCCCCAGCCCGGCACACGGCTGAGTCCTGCTCCCGTCTCCAGAGCGTGGCACGCAGCCCCCCGCCCAGATCGCCCGCGCCTCAGCCCGGCCCACGGAACCCTGCCCCCCACTCCAGAGCTTGGCACGCAGCCTCCCCCCCCCGCCCGGCCAGCCACGCCACGCCACGCCGCTCCTCCCCCCAGAGCCTGGCACACAGGGTCCCCCCCCGAGCCCCCGGCACCAGCAGGCCCCTGCCTCCCCCCCACGGGGCAGAGCCCCCCGGACAGCACATGGAGCCCCCTCCCCGGCAGCCCGAGCCCGAGCCTTCCCCGCCCCCACAGCCCGGGCGCCCAGCGCTCCCTCCCCGCCGCCCGCCTCACCTCCTCGGGTCCGGGGTAGCCGGGGCTGGCACCTGCAGGGGGAGAGGCGGGGGGAGAGCGATCGGCGCGGGGGGGCGACCCCGAGCCCGGCCGCCTCCCACCTGCGAGCTCGCCGCCGCTCATCCCGCCGGAGCCGCGGGGCGGGGCGCGTGTGCCTCGGGCGGGGGCCGGCGCGGGCCGCCGTGCTCCGGGGCGCGGGTCTTCGGGGGCGCGGGCACCGCTCTGTCCCCGCCGCCGCCGGCTCCTCTCTCCTTCCCGGCCGCTCTTCTCCGACGCTGGAGCCCCGCCCGGCGCTCCGGGGGGCGGGGGCGGAACCACCTGGTGGCGGGGAAGGGGGAGGAGGGGCCTGGAGCCGGCACAGGGCGGGGAGCCGCCCCGGCCCCTCGGCACTTGGACTCGCCCGTCAGCTGAGCGGCAGCCCCGCGGCCTCCCCCGCCGCCAGCGGCCCGGGCGGGGCCTCCCGGCTCCGCCGCGTGTTGCCCTCCCCAGCGCCCGGGGCTCCGCGGGCAGCGCCCCCGGCGCGGGGCGGCCGCTGCCCCCTTGCGGCCTCCACCCGCTGCCCCCGGGCAGCTCCGCACCGGGGCTCGCCGCTTCCCGAGAGCCTGGCGGGGGAACCGGCTCCAGAGCGCGGGGGGCTGCGGGACGGAGCTCAGGCCGTTCCTACTGCCCCCGGCTCGGGCTCCCGCCAGCCGGCCGCACAAGGGAAGGCGGAGGAGGGGCTGCTGGGTCCGGCCCCGGTCGCTCCTAGCTCCCCTGCGCTGGGAACCGAGCCCGGGAACCCCCTCCAGGCTGGGGTCATTCGCCAGGCAGCCAGCGCCGGCTCGGCAGCGGGAGGGAGAGGCCACGGGGACCAGGGATCCGAGGGGATATGTTTCAGAGTAATATGGCAACTCCTACAGGTTTGGGGTCCTTATCCAGGTGAAGGCAGCCGTCCGAGGCTAAAATGAGGCTACCTATAGAAGACCCTAGGCCTCCCTACCCTGCTGCCAGCTCCCAGAGCAGACACAAGGCACCTGATACCAGTGATCTAGTGAGACAAGCAGCAGGGCCGGCTTTGCCTGGGAGATAAGGTTGGTACTGACCCTCTTCCCCCATGACAGGATGGGACTTCACCCTTACAATTGAGAGCTTTGGCCCAGAAAGCCTTTTAGACTGTTGCCCTGCAACCCTTCCCCCAAAATACCTACTGGGAGACAGATTGAAATCCTTGTTAAGAGACAATAGAAAGTCTGGAATTAGCAGAAAACGCCCTCACTGTCCCAAGGGGAACTGCTGGGGGAATTAGCCCCCCACATTTTCTAACCTACAGGGAACAGGCTAGCACTAAAATCCCCCAGAAAAGGCTGAGAGAAGCAGAGCTAGGGTGTATTTTCAACAGGGCTGCAATCTTACCAAGGGGATCACATACAGGACAGAACTTAAGTGGGCCATGTGTGGCAGGAATAAGTGTATAGAAGGCTGGGGGTAGAGTCATTCAATGGTTATAGAGCCCACCACAGGGCTAGATGCAGCATTGTGGTGGTGTTTTTAAGGGAGTTCATTTTTTTTTTAAAATCAGGTGGCTCCTGTCTTTACCACACCACAGCATGGAAGGTGGTGCCCAAGGCAGCCACTGCAAATGTACCATTGCAACAGCACAGGAGACAAAAATTCCAGACTGTTAATCAAGCAATTAAAAACTAGCTGCAAAAAGTAAACAAATGTTAAAATTAAGAGACTATTAAGTGATTCCCCCACCCTTCTAGGATAAAAAAGATCCCAACCATGAGGAGTTCTCGCTCCAGCAGATCTGATGTCCCTAAAGAAAAAGGGAAAGCACAGCTGCAACACATAGGACTGTAAGTCCAAGGCCAACCACATAAACAGCTAGAGCTGTTAAGGCAATCCAGTAGCAGGGTGACTGCTTGCTGGAGAAGGTGCCAGGTACAAGTGTGGACTGCTAGTGAAGTCCTTATTTTGAGGACTAAGGCAGAGAAAGCTCAAACTGCACAGGAGTCTGCACTCACCTGTGAAGGGCAAGATGTGTCCTAGTTGAGACTGAAGACTTCATAGCATGTTTACTAGCACTAGATCCATCCCCATCCATGTCAAGCACATGAAGAAGGCATGTGGGAGCTGTCAGGCTGCTATCAAAACCCCTTGACCGTAGGGGAGAGAATGGCTCCCCTCCCTCCTGCTGCTTCCTTTCTTAGCCTCTTCTGCAGCACTGAGGCTGCAAGTGCTGTTGACACTCAGCAGAGCACCAGGCTTTGTGGGGGCAGCACACTGTGCTTCTCAGCCCTAGTGGTCCAAGCAGGCCTTTTGTCAGCCTGATAGGTTTCCCCAGGGCTACATCGCTTCACTGTATGACCACCATCCTGGCAGACGTAGACCACACATTTGCTACTGATGTTGCTGCAAGGACAGTTTGAAGCTGCCACATATTCTTGCCATAAGAAAAACACTGGAATGTCAAAGCAAGTGTGCCAAGAACAATTTCAGGAGCAACCTGGACCCGATTGGAATGCAGGGACCTGACAAAGGATACCCAACCCCTGCTTTGGCATGTTCTGGAAGAAGAGCCACAGCTCCTTAGCTAACTGTGGTCTAGGAGGAACTGATGGAGGGTTCCATGGGCAGCAGTCCTGTTCCAAGGGTGATAATGACTGCCAGCACAGAGGGGTGGGGGAAAGGTTACCATTGCCATAAAAGCTTTCAGAGCTTGCGGAGTGAGTTGTGCCTGCCTCATGCTAGGGAGCAGAGGCCAAGCAATGAGACTCCTCGCAGATGGTAACTTTAAAAAAAGTTTTCCCCAACTAGTTCATCTAGTCACACAGAAGCTTCAGCATCACCCCACCACCCATTCCTGAGCCGGTTTGTAACAGCCCACCATTCTAATAGTAGTAGCCAAATAATTCTTTGCTCATGATATGCTTCTGCAGAGGCTCCTAGCACTATGTGCTTTGCTCAGCAGAGGGAGGGCTGGATCTTTTCCTCCCCCTCATTCAGTGCTTTAGCAAGAACTGAATAATCAAACTCCCCTTTCATAGCACATTTGCTGACTGGAGGCAGAGATTGTGCAGGAAGTGTAACCAGCCCCTCTTGCCCAAATTCACTATCAGTAGAAAGGACGGTAAAGAAACAGACTGGAAACCAGGAAGTGGAATCCACTAGCGAAATAAGAATCCCAAGGCCATTAGGTTCTGTTTTTATTTACACTGCAACCTCTGGGCTGAGGAACAGAGAGTTTCACTCAGTGCTCAATAACTTACCTTGCAATGTACAGTATTTGATCATTTAAAAAGAAATGAAACAGAGTGACAGCTGGGACGGACCTAGCCTAGTCCTGATGGAGAGGCCTTTAGCTGGGAGAAGGGTGCAGGGGTTTGTGCAGCAGTTAAGTTGGTAGAAGCTTGTGTGCAGGCAAGATTTTGTCCCTGTCTGGCAGAGTAGTGGGCCACTGAGATTCAAACAGCACAAGCCCTTGACTCTTACTGACTGCAGCTTAGGGAAAACAAAAGCAAACCCTGTCAAGGATTCCAAGGGACCTTAGCAAGAAGCAGGGCCCTTTCAGCAGCAGCATAAGCTTCCCCACTCCTTAGCAGGACGGGGAGAGTAGCATAGGGTCAGGCCAGGAAGAAAGAAGTATGTTCCTAAGAGGGTTTGACTAGTGTTTGGCAGGTAAAAATGACTGAAAAGCCAGGAGGCAGCAGCTCCTCCCTGCAGAGGGGTTGAGAGGCCTTTCCCACCACCTCACATGGTTTAAGTTAAAATTGGGGGGGGTCTAAACTCTATCCCTCTTCTCAGCAGAGCAGAGAAGCAGCTCAAGGTGCAACAGGTAGCAGCACTCAAGCCCAGTGTTCCCTGCGCACTCGGATCACCAATCCTCCACTACCGCAGAGGCTGGCTGAGCTAGGCAGCACTGGGCAGGGGGCAGAGGAGAGGATGTGCTCAGAGCAGAAACTACCCACTCTGCACTCCTCCCCTCGCACTGCAGCTTTAGACTCCTCCTCCCCCCATCACTTTACTGTCCATTCACCCCTGCCCAGCAGAGGCCTGGTGTAGCTCCAGAGGCAGGAGAGAGGGCCCATCCTATACCCCAAACACTTTTGCAGTTCTGGGGGGAGGGTAATGCAGATGGCACAGCTGACAGTCCATGGGGTGCAAGTGGTGTCCCTGCTGCTCCGCCGGGCACCTTTCAGATGGAGATTGAGGCCGCTGCACTTCCCCACTCCAGCCAGCTCACACACAGTTTGGCCACCTCCTTTATAGAAAGCCCTCCTTCCGGAACTGCTCCTGCAGGATGTCCCTGTACTCATCGAAACCACCCTCGATGCGCGTCACGGTAGCGTTCTCACACACCCACAGCTCCTTGCACAGCAGGCGAATGAAGCACTCGTCGTGGGACACTAGGATCACACCACCCTGAGATTGAGGTACAAAGAGAAAGTGCTTTACACCAGAGGGGAAAATAAGGTACAACGGCAAACAGTCCAGTTCTAAATCGCTATTTGAATACTATGAGGAAGGGTAACATGTCTTGTTAAGTCTGCTGACCCCACTGCTTAGACCACAGAGGTGGCCTGAGTGTAGCTCTTGGCCCCTCAGCTCATGGAGATGCAGACCACAGGTCTGGCCACGCAAAACAGCATCATACAAATGTAAGGCTACAAGGGACCTCAAGAAGCCATCAAGTCCACCCCTGCACTAAAACAGGACTAAGTAAACAGAGGTCACCCCTGACAGGGGTTTTCCAACCTGCCCAAAAACCTCCATAATCTCCCTGGAAAGCCCATTCCAGAGTTTAACTACCCTTAGAGTTAGAAAGTATTTTTTACTATCTAACATAAATCTCCCTTGCTGCAGATTAAGCCCACTGCTTCTTGTCCGACCGCCAGTGGACACGGAGAACAACTGATTACCAACCTCTTTATAGCAGCCCTGAACCTACCTAAAGACTGGTCGGTTCCCCACAGCCTTCTTTTCCCTAGACTAAACAGGCCCAGTTTAACCTTTCCTCATAGGTCAGATTTTCTAAACCTTTTATGGGTTTTGACGCTCTCCTCTGCGCTCTCTCCAATTTGCCCATTTCTCTCCTACAGTGGTGCCCGAAGCCGGACACGGTACTTCAGCTGAAGCCTCACCAGCACCGAGTAAAGTGGAACAGTTACCTCCCGTGTCGTACATATGCCACTCCTGTTAATACAGCCCAGAATGCTAATAGCATTCTCCTAACTTCATCACATTGTTGACTTTCAATTTGTGATTAATAACCCCCTGATCCTTGTCAGCAGTATGACTGCTTAGCCAGTTATTCCCCATTTTACAGTTGTGAATTTTAATTTTTTTCTTTCTTAACAAGTGAAGTATTTTGCATTTATCTTTACTGAACTTCACCTTGTTGATTTCAAATCAAATTTCGCCTTGTTGATTTCAATTCTCCAAGTTGTCAAGGTCATTTTGAATTC